GGGTTGTTTGAGAAGCTTCAACTTACGGGCAAGCCTAAATTGAGCAGTTCCAACAACATTCCTATCCCAAACTCTTTCCAAAATGTTTTGAAAATGGTCATGTTTTAGCCACATATTAAAAAACTTGAAAGGTTTTGACCCTCCATTTGTCACGGCCCCAATGTTTACAAGGGATGCAACATGATCAAACTCACACTCCATCTCATGGAAATGAGCCTTACATGTCACATTTTGCATATTCCAAAAAGGATTGATAAGGACTCTATCCAATTTTGCCCAAATTGCACCCCTATGCCAAGTAAAAAATTCACCGGTTGAGGGGGCATCCATTAGGCTAGCATTCATTTTCATATCATTCAAGTCTTTCATTGCATAAGCCAAAGGGGGGGCAGACCCCCTTCTTTCATTTGGTGACCCAACACAATTAAAGTCCCCCACCACAACCCATGGAGCGAGGATATTAGAGCTAAGGACAGAAATATGCTCCCACAATTCCCTCCTTTGTATGATTGTATACAATGCATATATGAAAGTAGCATAAAATTGTAATTGCGTAACCCTACATGTGAATTTCATATGAATGTGTTGTTTATCAACTTGTAAAACAGCCCCCTCCACAAAATTTGGGTCCCAAATGATGGCCATACGCCCACCACTCATGCAATCAAAATTAGTAATATACAACCACGAGTTAAATCTAAACTTTAGGAAGCTATCAAAAGATGTAGTAGACATTTTAGTTTCTAATAAGCAAAAGATGCGTACCTTATTTATTTTTGCAAAGTTAGCTATAGAGTTTTGTTTTGAGGCTTGGTTAAGCCCTCTAATATTCCAAGATGCTAAAAACATAAAAAAATTATTTGTTGGCCGAGGCTCCCCTCCTTCGGTTTCTCCTCACTTTCTCTCTTTCATTCTTCTTCCATTGGCGGTACTCTTCGCACCCATTGTACCTATCAAGAAAAAGTTGATAAATGGTTGTCATAAAGAAAGGAGAGAATTCATACCCGTCCTCCACTTTTTTGACTCCGGGAAGGCTTTGGAGGCAAGAAGAAGTGAAGATGATTCCCCTTCTTGTGTTGTTCCAATCTATAGAAAGGTAGTTGTCAAGCCTTGTCATTTGTTCTTTGACATCCTCGGCATGCATGACATGGATGCTAACTCTTCCTTCCTTGTCATATTCTATCTTTGTAATAACATCATCCATGTATGCCTCTCGGATATCATGTACAACCCGGTCTCTTTTGCCCTTGAACTTCCTCAAATCCTTGACCTTGTTTCCATTCCCCATTAGGTGCCCATCTTCATAGTACCTATCAAGGTAGTGTCTATACACGCACGTCATGAAGATATCCTCAAAAGCATAGCCCTTTTTCCTCTTTACCACTCCGGGCAGCCCTTCAAAACACTCTTTTGTGAACCACACCCCGGGTTCATTGTCTTTGACCTCCCTTAGTAAATGGTCAATTCGGATCATGGGTTCTTTTACCTCATCAATGTGTTTGACTTCATATTTTGGTTCCCTTGCCTCCTCCGTCTCCATTTGAGTGATAACCTCATCATTAAAGATATTATCAAAGCCTTTGATAACTCTCGGATCCACCTCCTCCTCCTCACTTGATTGATTTCCTTCCCCGGTAGCCTCCATTGTTTTGGCCTTTGCTTGCTTAATGCTCTTGTTTCTTTGGTCCACTTTATTCAATCTTCTTTGCTTAAGGAAGGGGTGAACAATATGCCCTTTCCCTTTGTTAGATGTCTCGCCTTTGTTGCTCTCATTTTCTTCCTCTTCTACAACCTTGTTTTTGCCCTTTGCCACGGCATACACATCTCCCTTTGCCACTTCTTCCTCTACTCCTTTTGCCGCGGCATGTGAAGACTCCTCACTCCCATTACCATCTTTGCTTACTTCTTTCTCTTTTGCCTTGTCCTCCCTTTCCTTCTTTTCAATCTCGGCTAACACTTTGCAAGTGAAAGCATGATGTCCAAACCTCTTACAATGGAAACAATAATTGGGGAAAGTCTCATACCTCACTTGTTGTTTGTGCAATTTACCATTCGGCATAAGGATTGGAATGACAAGAGGAGGTGGTTTGGATGCATCCACCTCAATCAAAACTCTAGCGAAATTGGATCTTGCTTTCTCAAGTGTGACTCTATCCGTAGTCAAAGGGATGCCTACTTTGGATGCCACCTCACTTATAATATCCTCTTCCCAAATTCTCATGGGAAGATGAGGGAAAAGAACCCAAATAGGTACTTTTAAGAATTCCTCACCGTCCATAGAGAAGTCTTCCGAGAGCATCTTCAAGATGATTGTTTTCCCAAAAAGGGAATAAGGTCCCTCCATTAGCACTTTCTCCCTATCTTGGGCATTTTGAAATCTAAAAATCACCCATCCTTTGTCATGGGACCTAAACCGGCAAGGGACAGGCCATTTTTGCACCAAGGTTTGAATATTATGGAGCCCGGGGAACCTCCCATCAAAATAAGCAACTAAACAATATCCCCATAGTTCAATCATGGTAGCAAGCTTCCGGGTTCTAAGGTCAATTACATCTCCTTTTGGCTCAATGTACCTTAATTTCATACCTTTATCCGGCTGCCTATTATCCTTGAAAAGTGATGCAAATGCCTTTTTTGGTTGGGTTTCACCGTGGACAACAGTTTTGCCCAATGCCGCGGCATAGGGAGCATTTGGGTCAGAGGAGGTGCTTTCAGTAACCACAGCCTTTCCTTTGGGGTCCTTCACCTGGTCTTGAATCATTTCAACACTAGCATTGACAAAATCCCCAATAACAGTCTCGGCAGTATGCAAAACAATTGCATTTTCAACATGACTTTCAATACTTTCAACCCTTGGCTCAATATTAGGCACAACATCATTTTCAACATGAGTTTCAATACTTTCAACACTTACAATAGCATCATCTCCTATCACAGATTCAATCATGGCAGTCTCATGTGGAGGACTAACCTTATTGACAACCTCATTCTCGGTTTGAGCCTCTAACGGTGCAATTGGGGAAGGATCATTTTCATTGGCACCATTTTCAATTCTGGGGCTTCCATTTGTAACAATAGGTGACTCATTCATTACAACCACATTCACGATTGTTTCAAGAATTGGTGAAGCAATTACCTCTTCAACTTCAAGGTTTGAGGTAGAATCCTAGGCCACTATTGTTTCACCAACCTCTATCTCCTTTTGTTGGTTCATTTCCTTCTCTTGCATCTCGCTTTCCTTAATTTGAGCTTTCCCCTTGAGTCTCGAAGAAGCCTTAGTTGGAGTCTTCTTCTTCTTTGCCGTAGACTTTGGTTTCGGCATTGTAACCAAAGTCCAATTCACATGGAAGGGGAAGCTAGGAGAAGCTACCCCTCCTCACCGAGTTGCTCGAGTTGTTTCCTTCTTCGTAGCTCCAAGTCCGTACCAATGGAGTCCGGGGTGAATAGTAGTTGATTGTACGGACTTCGTTGATGATGAAACAAATTGTATAAGGTTGATGCTCTTGACAAGGGGAAGCTAGATATGTGCTCAAAATCAAAATTGATCGAATGGATTTGAAGGAACAAGCGTTGACCTTTTCGTGTGAATAGTAGTGAATAGTAGTCGGCCGACTGGTTTGGAGCTAAGAACTCAAAAAACCTCCAAAAACACTCAAATTTTTTGGAGATAACAAGCGTGGGTAGTAATGGAGTTGATATCCAAGCTGAATCGAGAAGAAACGGTGAAGAAAGTGTAGATTTCGGTTGGGAAGAGACGAACGCCGGACGTTCGCGAGAGAAGCGAGCTCTCAACTTCACCAACGGCTACCTTACCGAGTTCTAAAACATCTTACCGAGTTCTAAAACTTGTCTTCAAGCGCTGGTTTCAAAATATCAAGTGATGATTTCCTAATTACTAAAATACACTGTATTTACGCTAAAAGTGCTATATTTTCGTTGAAAACGCTAAATCATAGAGATAAGGCTAAGTATTTATGACACTCATATCTTGCTGTGTGTTTATCCGTTTGGAGCGTATTATCTCTCTTTGGAAAGATAGATCGGAGCTCTAAAGCTATTGTTCCAACTTCATTTACAGTGCATTAATTAAAAGTTACAGATTAACCATATTTTCACAAATGTTTCTGATTTCACTCCGAATTCGTGTAGAATTTGATGTGATCATATCTTGCTCTATTTTGTGCCGTTGAAAGCGTTTAATATCTCTCTGGAAAGATCTTACCGAGTTCTAAAACTTGTATTCAGGCGCTGGTTTCAAAATATCAAGGGATGATTGCCTAATTACTAAAATACACTGTACTTACACTAAAAGTTCTCTATTTTCGCTGAAAACGCTAAATCATAGAGATAAGGCTAAGTATTTGTGACACTCATATCTTGCTGTGTATTTATCCGTTTGGAGCGTATTATATCTCGTTGGAAAGATAGATCAGAACTCTAAAGCTATTTGTCCAACTTCATTAACAATGCATTAATTAAAAGTTACAGATTAACCATATTTTCACAAATGTTTCTGATTTCACTCCGAACTCGTGTAGAATTGTATGCGATCATATCTTGCTCTATTTTGTGCCGTTGAAAGCGTTTAATATCTCGCTGGAAAGATCTTACCGAGTTCTGTTTTTTTTTATGAACTGTAAGTATATATAAAGGAATCTTCCAAAGAGTTTTAGCTGTACATAAAAAAGGGGAGCAAAATTTGAGGTTATCCAAAGATTGGATAACCCATCACCTCCAAAAGTAAACTGCTAATCAAGTAACCTAAGCTACTTCACGACCAATCACAAGCAAAAATATAGGTGATGGGCAAAGAGTTATCAATACACCACCAAATTATGGGGATAAATACTATATAGGATCTTGTACACAATGTACTTGATCCTTGCAAAAACGTCTTTCTCTTTTGGGAGTAGTCTATCCAATCTTGTTGCGTTTCTGACCCTCCAAATCCAGTAGACCGTGAAACAGAATGCAGTCCTAGATCTTACCGAGTTATATTTTTTTGGATGAAATGTAAATATATATAAGCCACCCAAAAATAGCATTTTACAATGCATCAAAACGAGATCAAAATGACTATCTAAGTTAGGATAAACTAACCTAGATATAATGCATCAAAGTAATGGGACAACCCCCACCTCACAAAATCACTAATGAAATAAAGCTAATTATCCAGCCAATCAAATAGAGCCGTAGCTTCCCCATCCAAAAATCAGCAGACAGTAGCTTCAATTCCTTCTAGCGCTAAAACTCACTCATTAGATAACTAAAACCCGAAGGTCAGTAGCCTGGGCATTTGCTTATTTTAAAAACCATTTTCTTACTCGGACCCTTCTTTGGTGCAGGGGGCCGTGCTGCCCTCTCCGCCTCAGCCGGTTCAGAATTTGGTTCGGCCCATGTGGTTTTGTTGCCATTTTGGTTCGGTGCAGCAGTAGGTTCCGGCGCTTCATCTATCCCAGCAGCTATTTCTGGCGCAATAACAGCAACTTCCGGCGCAACGGCTTCCATTCCAACCTCCCTTACCTCGATCTGTGCGTGACTAACGTTCCCAGCAGCTTCTTTAGCAGCAGGTTCGACGAGAGTTCTTGTTTGAAAAGTAGTAGCAGCTTCCAAAGTAGTAGCTACACCCAGGGAGGAATTATCTATAGCAGTAACCTCTAAATCAGTAAGCTCATGTGCAGCAACATTAATAATACCAACTTCCTTGTTCTTTTCTTTCCCATTTTCCTCCTTTAGTTCCTTTTCAGCTAGCTCTTTGCAAATAAATGGGTGGTGCCCATATTTTTTGCAATGAAAAAAGAAATTTGGAAAAGTTTCATACACCACTCGTTGATTGAAAATCTTTTGGGATGGTAAGCGTATGGGAAAGGATAGTGGCGGCGGCTTTGACACATCCACTTCGATAAGTATTCTAGCAAAATTGTGATTTGCCCTCTCTTGGGTGATTCTGTCTGTCGTTAACGGAGTCCCACTCATAGAAGCCACCTCACTCATTGCTTCCTCATTCCATAATTGCATTGGTAAATTTGGAAGTTTGACCCAAATAGGCACCTTGAGGAATTCTTCATCCTCAAATGAGAAGTCCTCACACAGTACCTTAAGCATAAGCATTTTTCCAAATATGGTATACGGTCCGTCATTCAAAACTTTCATTCTATCCGCATCGTTTTGGAATATAAAAATAACCCAACCTTTGTCATGGGGCCTAATAAGGCACTTCACGCACCATTTTTCTTTCAGTTCATAGACAGCCTTGAGGCCAGGGAACCGACCTGTAAAGCATCCAACTAAACAGTGTCCCCACATCTCAACCATAGTCAGCATAACCTTGTTAGTGAAATCCAAATCACTACCTTTTGGCTGAATAAACCTCGGTTTGATTCCATGAGTTGGATCACGGTTATCCTTAAAGAGTGTGTTCCATGGTTTCTTACTCATTCCTGTCTCTTTGGGGATTGTCAAAGCATTCTCAGCTTTTGTCACACGTTCAACACTCATAGCAGTAGCTGCAGGTTTTTCTGCCTGCACATAGGTCTGTCCAGCATCATAGGTCTGCCCGACAGCTCCTTTGGTTCCTTCCGGTTCCAGCATAGCTGCCATACAAGCTCTTTTTTCCACAATCATAGCCCTCTCATCTTCGTTAGGAACACCCTTCTCCTTTGAAATGTGTCGTGCTGCCCTCAAACTGTTCTGCCCAGCTCCTGGGTTGGAGTAATTCCCAGCAGTAGCATCTCCCGCATACTCATCTCCTGCATACTCTGTCTTAGAGTTTCTGTTAGCTGCAGCCCCAGGTTTTACAAACTTCTTCCGAGTAGTCCCATCTGAAAGAGCTGGTAAGTCCTCATCCATGTCAGCAAGGAGAGCATATCTGGACCTGGTCGTTCTCACCGTCGAAGGCTCCACGGACCCCTGCTTCTTCCTCACCATAGCAGAGCTGTTAGCTGCAGCCCCAGGTTCCGACAATAGACAGTAGCCAGAACTTTGTTATTCGCAAAGACCGACCTCTATGGGTTCGTTTTAGGACAGACGAATCTCAAACACAGAAATAAAACAATAGGCGAATCTCAAACACCGAAATCGAAGCTTATTACAGAAATCAGTTCTGAGAAGTGAATAGTAAGCCCGCACTCCGAATCAGTTCATTCTTGAGTTTATAGCCATAAATCAACATCATAAAAACATATCCAAGCTCGGAAATCTAATTAGATGTGAGATTCGAATAAAGAACGGCAAGAAACAAACCTTTATCAAGCGCGAGAATCAAACTCGGAATGAACAGTACTCGCGATTTATCCTGTCATATTTGGGGTTTTGGCTGTCCTTCATCGTTCTAAAACCAAATCCAGGCTCAGAAGTGGAGTTAGGGGAGAATTCCAACCAAGAACACCGCTCCCAACAGATTATAAGTCAGAAATCCAACATCTTACCGAGTTCTAAAACTTGTTTCAAAATATCAAGGGATGACTGCCTAATTACTAAAATACACTGTATTTACGCTAAAAGTGCTCTATTTTCCCTGAAAACGCTAAATCATAGAGATAAGGCAAAGTATTTGTGACACTCATATCTTGCTGTGTGTTTATCCGTTTGGAGCGTATTATATCTCGTTGGAAAGATAGATCGGAGCTCTAAATCTATTGTTCCAACTTCATTTATAATGCATTAATTAAAAGTTACAGATTAACCATATTTTCACAAATGTTTCTGATTTCACTCCGAACTCGTGTAGAATTTCATACGGTCTTATCTTGATCTATTTTGTGCCGTTGAAATCGTTTAATATCTCGTTGGAAAGATCATACCGAGTTCTAAAACTTGTCTTCAGGTGATGGTTTCAAAATATCAAGGGATGATTGCCTAATTACTAAAATACACTGTATTTACGCTAAAAGTGCTCTATTTTCGCTGAAAACGCTAAATCATAGAGATAAGGCTAAGTATTTGTGACACTCATATCTTGCTGTGTGTTTATCCGTTTGGAGCGTATTATATCTCGTTGGAAAGATAGATCGGAGCTATAAAGCTATTGTTCCAACTTCATTTACAATGCATTAATTAAAAGTTACAGATTAACCATATATTCACAAATGTTTCTGATTTCACTCCGAACTCGTGTAGAATTTGATGCGATCATATCTTGCTCTATTTTGTGCCGTTGAAAGCGTTTAATATCTCGTTGGAAAGATCTTACCGAGTTCTAAAACTTGTGTTCAGGCGCTGGTTTCAAAATATCAAGGGAGGATTGCCTAATTACTAAAATATACTGTATTTACGCTAAAAGTGATCTATTTTCGCTGAAAACGCTAAATCATAGAGATAAGGCTAAGTATTTGTGACACTCATATCTTGCTGTGTGTTTATTCGTTTTTGAGAGTATTATATCTCGTTGGAAAGATAGACCGGAGCTCTAAAGCTATTGGTTCAACTTCATTTACAATGCATTAATTAAAAGTTACAGAGTATTTATATATTCACAAATGTTTTTGATTTCACTCCGAACTCGTGTAGAATTTGATGCGATCATATCTTGCTCTATTTTGTGCCGTTGTAAGCGTTTAATATCTCGTTGGAAAGATCTTACCGAGTTCTAAAACTCGTCTTGAGGCGCTGGTTTCAAAATATCAAGGGATAATTTCCTAATTACTAAAATACACTGTATTTACGCTAAAAGTGCTCTATTTTCGCTGAAAACGCTAAATCATAGAGATAAGGCTAAGTATTTGTGACGCTCATATCTTGCTGTGTGTTTATCCGTTTGGAGCGTATTCAATCAAGTCACGAGCACTCACAAGAGAATTAATGGCTGCTAGTGAATCTGCTAAAATATTAATTTCTAGCAAGTATTGATCCATAGTCTCGGAGTCTTTCTTTTTCACATGAGATAATAAACGTTTAAGCTCATTGGAATGAGAAATACACGTAGACATGAACCGTTTCTGGAGTCTATCCCAAATAAGATGATAGAATTTTAAATCACAGACTTCCATTAAAACATCTCTAGCTAATGTAGCAAAAAGCCATGAACGTACAGTTTGATCCATTTTTAGCCAGTGATGATAATCAACATTGGGAACTTCCTGGTGAGACAAATCATACATAGTAGATGATGGTATCTGAATAAATCCATCAAGAATACCCAAACAAACTGTGAGAGACTAAAAATGATTCAAACTAAGTTCTCCAGGGCAAATAGTCTTCAACCGAGGATAGGCGAGTAGTCACAATATTGTTCACATTAGGGGTAGAAAAAGCCAATTGGGATGCCAGGGAAGACAAAAAAATTGGTGTGGAATTAAAACCCGGCAGATGTGAGAATGAGGCGTGCTGTATTGGAGCCACCCCAGGCTGTCCAGAGAACGTTGACCCAGAAAAAATGGTGGAGGAGCTGCCACGATCCTGAAACATTGGAGGCGGAGGAAGAGTGAGCGCTGGGACGGCTGAAACTGAGGGCGTCCATGTAAAGGGCTCGGTCATGTTGAATAACCGGTAGGAGTCGAACGGTGGAACTCCGTGAAGACGTTGCGATATTGATGCTACTAGCGGAGACCGTGTCTGCGCGGCTGGGAGGGAGGCAGTGGGCGTGGAGGCCTGTGGAAACGAAACTGGAGTGCTGCTTGAACCAGAGAGGACTTGGAACTCACTGCTTGGCGATGTGCAGTGTTCGGAGGTATGCCAGATAGAGGCTGTGCCGCCATGGCGGGCGCCGTGCTTGAGGCGGCCGTAGGGTTGGGATGGCTGGACATGTAGCGTAAAGAAAACCTAGACGTCTGATACCATATACAAAACAATAATTTTGGGAAATAATGGCTTACCCTATTGGGTGCCTTGACGTTATATTTATACTAAAATCAGTTTGGGAAATTACATAGTAATCCTTATATAATTACATTATTATTAACCATATATTCACAAATGTTTATGATTTCACTCCGAACTCGTATAGAATTTGATAAGATCATATCTTGCTCCATTTTGTTCCGTTGAAAGCACTTAATATCTCATTGGAAAGATCTTATCGAATTCTAAAACTTGTCTTCAGGCACTGGTTTCAAAATATCAAGGTATGATTGCCTAATTACTAAAATACACTGTATTTACGCTAAAATTGCTTTTTTTACGCTGAAAACGCTAAATCATAGAGATAAGGCTAAGTATTTGTGACACTCATATCTTGCTGTGTGTTCTTCCGTTTAGAGCGTATTATATCTCGTTGGAAAGATAATTTGGAGCTGTAAAGCTATTGTAACAACTACATTTACAATGCATTAATTAAAAGTTACAGATTAACCATATATTCACAAATGTTTCTGATTTCACTCCACTCTCGTGTAAAATTTGATGTGATCATATCTTCCTCTATTTTGTTCCATTGAATGCGTTTAATATCTCGTTGGAAAGATCTTACCGAGTTCTAAAACTTGTCTTTGGGAGATGGTTTCAAAATATCAAGGGATGATTGCCTACTTACTAAAATGCACTGTATTTACGCTAAAAGTGCTCTATTTACGATGAAAACGCTAAATCATAGAGATAAGGCTAAGTATTTGTGACACTCATATGTTGCTGAGTGTTCTTCCGTTTAGAGCGTATTATATCTTGTTGGAAAGATAATTTGGAGATCTAAAGCTATTGTTCCTACTTCATTTACAACGCATTAATTAAAAGTTACAGATTAACCATATATTCACAAATGTTTCTGATTTCACTCCGAACTCGTGTAGAATTTGATGCGATCATATCTTGCTCTATTTTGTTCCGTTGAAAGCGTTTAATATATCGTTGGAAAGATCTTACCGAATTCTAAAACTTGTCTTCAGGCTATGGTTTCAAAACATCAAGGGATGATTCCCTATTTACTAAAATACACTGTATTTACGCTAAAAGTGCTCTATTTAGTATTTATTTACGCTGAAAATTCTAAATCATAGAGATAAGGCTAAGTATTTGTGACACTCATATCTTGTTGTGTGTTCTTCCGTTTAGAGCGTATTATATCTTGTTGGAAAGATAATTTGGAGCTCTAAAGCTATTGTTCCTACTTCATTTACAACGCATTAATTAAAAGTTACAGATTAACCATATATTCACAAATGTTTCTGATTTCACTCCGAACTCGTGTAGAATTTTATGTGATCATATCTTGCTCTATTTTGTTCCGTTGAAAGAGTTTAATATCTCGTTGGAAAGATCTTACTGAGTTCTAAAAATTGTCTTCATGAGCTGGTTTCAAAATATCAAGGGATGATTGCCTAATTACTAAAATATACTGTATTACGGTAAAAGTGCTCTATATACGCTGAAAACGCTAAATCATAGAGATAAGGATAAGTATTTGTGACACTCATATCTTGCTGTGTGTTCTTCCGTTTAGAGCGGATCATATCTCGTTGGAAAGATATATTGGAGCTCTAAATCTATTGTCCCAACTTCATTTACAATGCATTAATTAAAAGTTACAGATTAACCATATATTCACAAATGTTTCTGATTTCACTCCGAACTCGTGTAGAATTTGATTCGATCATATCTTGCTCTATTTTGTTCCGTTGAAAGCGTTTAATATCTTGTTAGAAAGATCTTACCGAGTTCTAAAACTAGTCTTCAGGCGCTGGTTTCAAACTATCAAGGGATGATTACCTAATTACTAAAATACACTGTATTACGGTAAAAGTGCTCTATTTACGCTGAAAACGCTAAATCATAGAGATAAGACTAAGTATTTGTGACACTCATATCTTGATGTATGTTCTTCCCTTTAGAGCAGATTATATGTCGTTGGAAAGATAATTTGAAGCTCTAAAGCTATTGTTCCAACTACATTTACAATGCATTAATTAAAATTTACAGATTAGTCATATATTCACAAATGTTTCTAATTTCACTCCGAACTCGTGTAGCATTTGATGCGATGATATCTTGCTCTATGTTTTTCCGTTGAAAGCGTTTAATATCATGTTGGAAAGATATTACCGAGGTCTAAAACTTTTCTTCAGGAGATGGTTTCAAAATATCAAGGGATGAATGCCTATTTACTAAAATACACTGTATTTACGCTAAAAGTGCTATATTTACGCTGAAACCGCTAAATCATAGAGATAAGACTAGTATTTGTGACACTCATATCTTGCTGTGTGTTCTTCCATTTAGTGCGTATTATATCTCGTTGGAAAGATAATTTGGAGATATAAAGCTATTTTTCCAACTACATTTACAATACATTAATTAAAAGTTACAGATTAACCATATATTCACAAATGTTTCTGATTTCACTCCGAACTCGTGTAGAATTTGATACGATCATATCTTGCTCTATTTTGTTCCGTTGAAGCGTTTAATATCTCGTTGGAAAGATCTTACCAAGTTCTAAACCTTGTCTTCAGGCGCTGGTTTCAAAATATCAAGGGATGATTCCCTAATTACTAAAATACACTGTATTTACGCCAAAAGTGCTCTATTTAGCTGAAAACGCTAAATCATAGAGATAAGGCTAAGTATTTGTGACACTCATATCTTGTTATGTGTTCTTCCATGTAGAGCGTATTATATCTCGTTGGAAAGATAATTTGGAGCTCTAAAGTTATTGTTCCAACTTCATTTACAATGCATTAATTAAAAGTTACAGATTAACCATATATTCACAAATGTTTCTGATTTCACTCCGAACTCGTGTAGAATTTGATGCGATCATATCTTGCTCTGTTTTGTTCCGTTGAAAGCGTTAAATATCTCGTTGGAAAGATCTTACCGAGTTCTAAAACTTTTCTTCAGGCGCTGGTTTCAAAACATCAAGGGATGATTGCCTAATTAGTAAAATACACTGTATTTATACTAAAAGTGCTCTATTTACGCTGAAAACGCTAAATCATAGAGATAAGGCTATGTATTTGTGACACTCATATCTTGCTGTGTGTTCTTCCGTTTAGAGCGTATTATATGTCGATGGAAATATAATTTGGAGCTCTAAAGCTATTGTTCCAACTTCATTTACAATGCATTATTTAAAAGTTACAGATTAACCATATATTCACAAATGTTTCTGATTTCACTCCGAACTCATGTAGAATTTGATGTGATCATATTTTGCTCTATTTTGTTCCGTTGAAAGCTTTTAATATCTCGTTGGAAAGATCTTACCGAGTTCTAAAACTTGTCTTCAGGAGCTAGTTTCAAAATATCAATTGATGATTGCCCAATTACTAAAATACACTGTATTTATGCTGAAAACGCTAAATCATAGAGATAATGCTAATTATTTGTGACACTCATATCTTGCTGTGTGTTCTTCCGTTTAGAGCGTATTATATCTCGTTTGAAAGATAATTTGGAGCTCTAAAGCTATTGCTCTAACTACATTTACAATTCATTAATTAAAAGTTATAGATTAACCATATATTCACAAAAGTTTCTGATTTCACTCCGAACTCGTGTAGAATTTGATGCGATCATATCTTGCTCTATGTTTTTCCGTCGAAAGCGTTTAATATCTCGTTGGAAAGATCTTACCGAGTTCTAAAACTTGTCTTCAGGAGCTGGTTTCAAAATATCAAGGGATGATTGCCTAATTACTAAAATAACACTCTATTTACGCTAAAAGTGCTCTATTTACGCTGAAAACGCTAAATCATAGAGATAAGGCTAAGTATTTTTGACACTCATTTCTTGCTGTGTGTTCTTCCGTTTAGAGCGTATTATATCTTGTTGGAAAGATAATTTGGAGCTCTAAAGCTATTGTTCCAACTTCATTTACAATTCATTAACTAAAAGTTACAGATTAACCATATATTCACAAATGTTTTTGATTTCACTCCGAACTCGTGTAGAATTTGATGCGATCATATCTTGCTCTATTTTGTTCCGTTGAAAGCGTTTAATATCTCGTTGGAAAGATCTTACCGAGTTCTAAAACTTGTGTTCAGGCGCTGGTTTCAAAATATCAAGGGATGATTGCCTGATTATTAAAATACACAGTATTTACGCTAAAACTGCTCTATTTACGCTGAAAACGCTAAATCATAGAGATAAGGCTAAGTATTTGTGACACTCATATCTTGCTGTGTGTTCTTCCGTTTAGAGCGTATTATATCTCGTTGGAAAGATAAGTTGGAGTTTTAAAGCTATTTTTCCACCTTCACAAGCCTCAGCTGCAATAGGGGACTGCACCCCCCCCCCCCCCCCCCTCCCAGTACTCACAACATCAGTTTCGACGGAAAAATCCTTATTCCGGGATTTCCGACGAACAACTGACCCAAAAAAATGAACAACGAGCAGAGCCTGGAAACTAACCTGGTACGGGAAGTTGAGGGAAGAAACTAGAGACAAGAAAGCAACGGCCGGAGATGAAAAGCTCTGAGATTTCCTTAAAACTCTGAAAGCTCAAACACAAAGAAATTGCAAGGGAGAAAGACGAGAACTTTCGCCTTTTATACTTCCCGCAGAATCAAACGGGAAGCTTACATGTGGTGCACTACTAATTAACCACATGAAACTGAAAGGTTTTCTCCTAAAAAGCGTGCAAAAGGCGCAATGATGGCGCCGTACAGTCATTTCAAAACCCATGATCGCATTACATGCGAAAAATGGCTACAAATTAAAAATGTTGCAAAATGGAATATGTAAAGATTCCTATTTGTACACTTCAGCGTTACTACACGCAACATATTCTCGTAAGTCCACCGAGCACTAAAGGCAACTACCTCGTCCCCTCAGGCTCATACTCTTCCACACTTAGAAAATATTCTAAGTCCACAAGAGTGGGGGGCAAGTAAGTGGGGGACTCGGGAATGAAATAAAAAAAACAAGATCACAACAAGCTCGGAACAACACAACGACCTCAGAATCAACACCAGACAGGTATATCTTGCGAATGAGCTCTACACACGTACACATTGAGTCATCCACAATTTCCTTTCTCTTTTGTTTAAATAAAATTCTATCAACCCACGGTCGAGGCCATGGATGTAGCAACTAACCTATGAAGCCGGAATGGAACGCGAAAGGCATGGAGCCCGAGCTCAGACTATTCGCAGCGGGGCGTCGCTTTCCTCTCCTGACTTCATGGCAAAGCAGAGTATACTATTTTGACTCCATTATGATCCTAATGAGGTACCCCTTTGTCATGACCATGGAGAGCAGAACCCCTGTCGGACGCGCAAGCCCAAGAAATTGAAGACTTACTCTCTCTCACCTCAAGTGTCAAATTCGCTTCGGAGAGTGGAGGACTCATGATGGAGTACATTCCCATATACCCCAAAGGTACCAGAATCGCCGACATAAGCATCACGGATCTATCCGAGAGTGCATAGAACTAGTAAAGTCCACAACTGGGAACCAACCCCGACCTTTCGAGGTCGGGACAAAACGCCAGACAACAAAACAACTAAGGATAGAAAGTCAACCGACCCCGACCCCGACCTCCGAGGTTGGGAAAACATCAAGCTCAGGAATCGCCTGAACTCAACAAGTTACGAGCCCAACCTCGAAAGCACCGAGCTCGGCACAAACCCCGATCTCGGGCATCAGCGCAAAGCCAACCAGAACTGGGCAAAAGAACCAACGACCTCGAAGACAAAACCAAAGACAGAAGCCGCATTCCCCAGCGGTGAGCCCCAGATACTGACCTCAGGGAGCTCAGGGCCTGATTGAGGCATCGTGAACTTAGACAGAATGTATGAAGACAAATTACCCAGAGGAATATCGCCATGTCACTCCTGGCAGTAGGCAGAAAGAGTGTTATGGATTGCACACGCGTATCCACGCGAGCATTCGAGTAGCAGTTAGTTGAAGCAGTTCCAATCAGCCAACTATTCTAGACTATCTCTCCAATCACCTTTACACGTGGCTGCTCCTCATCAAATTAGACTGTTAGTTTGTTAGCCTAGATGGACATGCATCCTCTCCCTATTAGTTCAGCATCTTTTTACTTGGGCACCAAGTATTGCCTTTTCAGTATAAGTATCACCCTCCAGCTTGTGGAAAGGGATCGTAACTTGTATCCTCTAGTTGTTACTCTGCAGAAATATCTAACTGAACTTTCCGATCAGCTCTTCTCTCTTGTTTACTTGGATTCCGGCTACCCCCGGTCCGACGATCCATCACATTGTATGTACTAGATTACCTTTTGTACTATTAGTCCATTTATGTAACCGGGTCTATTGGGCCCATATTAGAGGCCCAGACCCGGATTTCCCTATATATACTCCTTATAGGAGGCTTGTAAACCTAAGTCATAGAAAACACTTTCATCCATTCTATACATTATCTCCTTCTCCCTTCTTGTTCAATCTCTCCTAATTTATACAATATGGGAATCAATTATCCATCACCATACTTTCCAAATATCTTCATTTCTACTCAAGAATATCTTACATATTGTGTTGTTTTTTGGGCATGGGACCAGGGCCGGTTTCTCTTGGCATTCTCCCATTATTTTTACACATAACTAGCGCCGGTTAGGGGATGTGGCCGGCGCCTGGTCGCTATTGGTCAGATGTTTTTGCTTTGTTGGTGCCCGTTTGGTGGTTGGTTTCCAAATCAGAAGTGCCAGGTTTTTAACCCCTTTTGACTTGTGACTTCATTTTCTTCGCTTTAGATCATATTTCACATTTCTGACAATTTTTTTACCTAATTCTCTCTCATTCTCCAATACGTATGACAATAATTACTTATCTAAAATATAGGTAAATATGGTGCCTATCTGTAAGTAATTCAAAGTTATTGTATGATTCTTTATTAACAGACAAATATCATTCACTAACAAATACATAGTATTGTCCTACTTCCTTATAACAATTCCTTTTGCTTTTCAAAATTGTGATTTTTATACAGAGCATATGACCCAATTTGGTTAACACTCCTAGCAGCTGCAAGCCTCATAAACATACTACCTTCTCAAAGTTTTTCTTTGGTGAACTTATTTTCAGAGGGAGCATTGTCAGTGGTGGGGCTCACAGTTCCGAAGTAACGATCTCCAAATTCACCCATGCCTGGAATCACATGTAGATTCTTGTTGAGTGACATGTCTATCTCAGATGTCACTATTTTCACCCTCGAAAAATTGTCACATACTTCACGTAACCCTTGAGGCGCCTGCAAAAGGTAAAATACATGCATTAACCATGCATTTAACAACTAGCTAATATATTACTTTTAGATATTTTATTTATTGAAAATATAGTTTAAACTAACTCCAAAATTTATTGTATCTCTTATACACTCACTGATATTAGGTTTAAGAAAATGATGTTGCACTCTGCTACACCCCTGCTAAGCAGCACAGATATAGCTTTCACCGCAGAGTTGCCTGTTTGTATATGCGTGTGTGCAGTGGTGCCAAAGTTAATGATGTAAGAATAAATTAAACTTGTAAACTAAGTTAATACTCCCTCGGTCTCAATTTGATTTGCAAAATTTCCTTTTTTGGTTGTCTCAAAATGGTTTTCCACTTTCTATTTTAGGTATGTAAATAAGAATAAAGTGACAAATTTACCCTTACTTTTACTTTTTCTACATTAACTTAAAGACATCTACTTTTAGAAAGATGGGCAAAAGTGTAAAAAGCAAGCATCATTTACTGTCATTTCTTAATCCTTGTGTCGGTCAAAGTTTGCAATTCAATTCGGGATGGAGGGAGTATTTCGTAGAGATGCTTAAGACAATAACTCTATCATGCGCACCTCTAAGTTCATTATTCATATAGTTTGATTTTTTGTCCGTCTCAAAAATAGTCAAAATAAGGTTTTAATTTCTATTTACAGAAATCAATATATATATATATATATATATATATATATATATATATATATATATATATATATAAAAGGAACTTTTTAATAGCATACAAAGCGCCACATAATTCTGCCATGTCATTATATATAACAAATATTTACTTATTTTTATACCTTTTGTTTTTATTAGATTCTATTTTTGATTACATATTGATATGGAAACAAAAATCCTTATAAATCCACCTTAATTAATTTGGTAAGCTTCAAATAAGTAAAATAATTTTTGGTTATCAAAGTGAAATTCTAGCTAATAACGTTTATTGATATGGAAACTAATTTATATTAGTTTACTACACCGAATTAAATAGAAACAAATATATATATGCAAATTAGTTTACTTATTAATTTGACACCTATTCATAAATTAGTAAGCTTCAAATAAGTAAATAATCAAAAATGACATTAAAAATTATAACCAACATAAAGTATATATATATTCACAAATAAATATGTTTAGCTTAGCCAAATAAGTAATTTTTTTTGTTGTTTCTTTGTTTTACACCTAAAATTCAAATATGCCTTCACTTTTGAAATAGATTTCTAATCCAAATTAGAAATTCTTTATAGATTTACGAATTCCTAATTTTATTTTAATAGAATGTTTTTAATTGGATTGATTTCAGTTCCAGATTAAATCAGATCAGATCAAACTTTAATAATTATAACAATAAGTCACATAAAAAACGGACATCTAATAGACCATATTAATTCATACCAAATCAAACCCAAAATTTTATTTCAATGAAAAACGTTCTTATTAATGAGTAAACTGTAAGATCTAACAATTAAGAAATATAGAATTTTTTTATCATTGGGTTCATAACAATTATGTTTACTTGAGATGCTTATGTAGAAGACCAATTTAACTTTTTTTCACATATTTTTTTCTTTGTTTCACAAATGGAATATATTTCACATATACTTTTCATGATTCAGAAGATTCCACGTATTTAATCAGAATTCAATCAATTTCAGCAAAATAAGTTAATTCTGTTTACTTTAGTATTATCAAACAGAGTCTATATTAGACTAAGTTTATTTTTCTTTTAAATCACATTATATGTGATCCGATAGAAATTAAATTTCAAATTAGCTAAATTACATACTGCTCGTGCATCGCACGGACTTGAAAGCTAGTATTCTTATAATTCATATTATTTCTTTGATACGAAATTTAGGTATGTTGACAAGACTATTTCAATGTTTCTAGTATGTATACTAAATAAATAATATTAAAAACTAAGAGTCAATATATAAAATCTCAAACTACTTTATCACTATAAATTATAAGTCATTTTGTATATATAGGGGAGGGTTCAAATAAAAAGAGACATTCCCACGGAAAGTGAGAATAAATCGGGTGCATTCAATTCACGATCTATTGGCTCAGAATAAGCCAAAAATGCACTGAATTTGATAAAAAACGCGGTGACAATTTCGTAATTAAACTAAAGTTTTTTTCTACCGCGAAAGAGTGCAACATGAACATGAAAAAGTGCATCACATTGAGAAAAAAGTGCATTCATTCGCATGTTGCACGGTAACACCTATGCATGTGTCATGTGTGGGTTGGGGGAAACAAGGGCCACAAAATGACGGACGAGGCGTATGAGATGGATGGAGAATATGATGATGAACCAATTGAGCCTGAGATTGAGGAAGGAATTGAGGATGCCAATAATGAAGACCTACATGATGACATATAATAGAAGAGGGTGAAGACGAACTTGAGGAGGTTATTGTGGAAAGACCTATGAAAACATCAAAGTACATGACAAACTATGAAAGAGCATGAATTTTGGGTACCCGGACTCTTTGGATCGATCAACATGAATGTTCATGTGATGGTTGATTTTAAGAGAGGTAGTGATCCCTTTGAGATTGCTATGAGAGAGGAAGATTCCCTTCATAGTTTGTCGGTATCTCCCATATATTGGGGGGTTGATGAATTAATAGTTGAGGACTCGTGGAAGAGACAAGTCGGTCGGGGGAGACTATGTAATGGTTTTTAAATTGTTGCAGTGCCTTTGGTAGAATGATTGGTGACGATGCAGTATCAATTGACACGTGCTTTCGGAACTGGGATTAGTTTCAAATTTTCAATTTTTCTGCTCTACTCTTTATTATCGTGGAAGAATGATTAGAAGAAAAATGTATGCTTTATATACTTTACTTTATCATACTATGGGTTGTTTGATTTGTGTATTTTGATTATATATAGCTCGAGTGAATTTAATGCATGCTATCATTTTTTATGAAAAAACTAGCTAGGCTGCAGGTTTGGGCATATCAGTTGTGGAAGAAAGTAATTTAAAATATATAAAAATATATATATATATATATATATATATATATTATGTGTGTGTGTGTGGGTAAGATGAAACACGCACGCCATATATACCTGAAGCAAGAATGGGATCAAGCAAGAACACATGGCGACTTGCAATGTCTGATGGCAGCTTCTCATAGATCAACTACAGTAAAATTTGGTATATGTATGTAAGTAGTAGAAGTGATAGAGATGAATAACTCTAAAATATATATTTCAAGCTTTGAGTTTAATTTATAGACCTGCCTACCACTTTTGCCCTCTCCATGAATTAGAATCTTTCCAATTTTTATTCCTTTGCAACATGCCCGAAGCGCATTCTCCATGCTTTCCCCACTGGTGCATTTATTTAATAAAAAAAGAATTGAGGCCAGGCTATATATATATATATATGCAGTTATAAGGCCGGCCGGGCCGGTTGAATTCATGTTTTCTTTTTTCTTAACAAATGCATTGTTTTGAGTGCATTAATTCTTAGAGTACTGTATGTAACATCAATGAAAACTTTAAAGTCACTCTATTACTGTATATTTTTACATGATAAAATTAATTACTTTACTCTATCTAAAGAAAACAATAATATAATGGAGAAAACAAAGAACAAAATTACTTACCTTCTGATGACCGATACCCCACATAAACTTGTACAGAAATCTACCCCGCTATAAACAGATCCTATATATAAATTTTTATGACATCATCCCAGAAGTTAATTGAATCGACAAACAAACATACTTATATATAGTACTTAGCTTCTTGATCTCCATTTTGTTAATTGGAATGATCATTTAATTTGCTAGCTAGCAAAACTACCTGTGGGAGTAGTGACTTGTTTTTCCGTGAATGGAAGGTGACCTAGACCATGCTCCACAACCTTAAGTATAAATAAAAGAGTGTCTTAATTATTTCATGTACAAATAAGAAAAAATCAATGAAATTAGCTCAAAGAAGATTGTTATATATATATACTCATACCAAACGAATGAGGCGGTCTGCATAAAAAACAAAATCGTGTTTTGCTGTTTTGGCATCACGTATAAGCGTGTGCATTCCACGAATCTAGAAATAGAAACAGCTAGGTAAACTCTTGAGCCCAATTGTGTTGTTGAGGAATTATTAAGAATATATATATAGACCTTCAAGCTAATTAAGCTGTATACAGTAATAATTAACCTGAAAAGTTGAGTTTATAACAAACACATTTCGGTATATTTTGCAAAGTTCATTCTGCCCAAGCTTTGTACGTATATGTTGTAATATCAAATCAATTGCAACATCATTCTCTGCTCCCCGGGGGATTATAATATCAGCATATTTCTTGGTTGGAAGAATAAATTCCTCAAAACCGGGTTTCACAAATTTGTCATACTGCAAGTAGTGGCCGGACACATTGTAGTATTAGTTAGTTCCAAAATGAAATAAAACTCCTATTTAAGATTGTTTGTGTGCATGTTTTATAATATACTACTTCCTATATTGCTGATACGTTTTTAATGCCTTGAACAATAATGAATCCAAGTACTAGGACATAAATTTCTACACATCTTAATCACTGCTTAGTTCAACAATAAAATTTGATGAAGTAAAAAATACACTATATTAGTAATAAATTACTAATTAATAATATATGTCAAATTACAAGTTATTAACTAACAAATTAAAATGGTCAAATCAAAAGTATATATTCGTTAACAAAATACACTTTATTTTAAAAGAGATATTCTTTCAGCATATTTTAAATGAGTTATAATCAATGTTCTAAAAAGCGCAATGCGACAAGACTAAGTCTTTGAAGCCTCAGCGAGGTTCAGACGTGAAAAGACGTTTTGATTTTTATGCTTTAGTTTAACTACCTTTTCTAGAAAACTTTTTAACTATGCAAGTCTAATATTAAAGATTATCTTACAAAAAACATCAAACTTTTCTAATTTCCAAGAGAATTAGATTTACAGAGTCATTATAAATATGAAAAATATAATATCATGATCGCTTAATTCTAAAAATTGAATATAATTAAATTATTATGACTAAAGTAACTATTATAACCACTATATTAAAAAATCAAATTTTTGTGATTATCATTTTTATCATAAATTTGTAATTGTTTTGAATAAAAATAATTACACAATATTGTGTAGCATATTTGCTCGTATTTGGAATAATTTTATAATACTTTGACCTCAAGTTGCTAGCAGTGGGCCTTGCTAGCAGTTTCCCACACTGTAGCATTGTTGTTATATACATAAGCTGCATTCTCCAGCTCCAACTGATCTTATATTAGTTTTTACAAGAGGCGAGACACATATCTAATTCGTAAACCTTGTTTTTGAGCCGCCGAAGTATTTTTTTATACACGCCTCACTGAAAGGCCCACCAGGAGGCCTTTTTCTTCTGCATTTTCGAATACTAGTTACTCCCTCCGTCCCCGAATTATCTTCATTCTTTCCTTTTCGGTCCGCCCCAAATTTATCTTCTTTTTCCCTTTTTGTTAAAGAATATGTGATTCACAATCATTCTTACACATTTCTCTCTCCTCTGCATAACTCTCCGCCACACAAATCTCACTATCTTAAAATTCGTGTCCGGTCAAAACCGGAGTTAAATATGGGACGGAGGGAGTATAATTATACAAAAATAGTTTATTTTGGGCCCATCAAGCGCGGTCGAGCTATCTTTGGGTCGGCGGCCCTGATTCACCCCTACCTCCCTCCCATACAAAAAAAAGGAAATGATCGATTTTACAATAATGCACTAACTTGGTCAAGCACTTGGAACACTTCTTCCCCAGTCTAGGGTATCACGTTGAATTCTCCTTGTGAGACGAACATCAGAGTCTGCAAATAAAAATTACTCCACCTTTTTTCTATTTATTGGATGTACGTGAAACTTATCTCTCAGCTCCACGTGATTATATTGTTTGTGAACAAACCTGTATCCACAAAGATCTTCATGTTCATGAGATTACGTATTCGAGGATCATGAAGGACTAAAATTCCTTCTAAGATGATGACATCAGATGGTTGCACCTACATACATATATTTAAGGTACGTAATATAATTAACAATGGATATGATGCATGGGAGTTGCGCCATTAATTATTAGTGCTATGAATTTTTAATGGATAATTATATATATATATATATATATATATATATATATATATATATATATATATATATATATATTTAGTTGAGTAATTAACTACCGACCACACGCATTGGTTCAAGGCTTTTGTGCCTCCTTAAGTCGTAATTATTGGGAATGCTAATAGGTTGTCCGCCTCTTAGTGTCTCCAAACACGAAAGAAGAAGCTCCAGGTCAAATGCATCTGAAATATATAGTATATATATATTAAATGATGATACTCCGTATATATATATATATATGCTCATAAATTTTAATTAATTATAATACTGTATATATTATCACACATGCAATGCAGTTAGGTTCGTTGATGTATGTTTACCCGGGTGATCAAAGTTGTATTCGTGGACTCTTTCCAATTGATCATTATGGAGTGGAAGATAAAATGATTCCTACAAATATATAAATATCATGCATGTACAAAATGAAATGAAATATTATGCTTAAAGATCAAAGTACGTACGTAATTATAATTAAGACGTACGTAACGTACGTCCAATGAATTACATACAATTAGCAGCTAGCTAGCTAGATCGAACACTAACTTGATTTATGACAAGTACACGCTGATTATGAAACTCTGATATTATGGTGCTGCAAACCTCCGTCTTGCCAGATGCCGTCCCACCGGCAACACCTTCAAATATAATATTAATTCAAACAATCAATATTTTATTTTTAAAAAAAGAGGCCGGCCGGCATGCATGCATTTGGTTGAAGGCTTACCAATGATAAATGGAACCTTAAGAGGAACGTCTTGTTCGTGGATCACATTCTCTTGAAGCGAAGAGTGATTTCTCAATGCAACCACCATATCAAGAGTTTCCATTTAAATGCCACAAAATCCTTACTTCATTTATGGCTACTTAGATTAAATACCATATCCATGCATAATAGTAATAATGACCAAACCAGGCCATGAGATTAATTAAAGGGTGGGAAAAATATATATAATGGTTCTTGAAGCCTGATTTGAACAAAATGGTGATTCCTATAGCAGTACGAATTGAAGATCACAGACATAGCGAAATTGATCCTAAACACATGCAGCTCCAGTATTCCAGCATGTACGTGTAACCATATATATTACATGTAATAACCTTAAATAAAGAATATAAGGAAAATGGCATGGGGCAAATTAAAAGTTATTGTAAAATGGCCGGAAACAGAACTCACGGGAAAAGCGTTAATAATTATCACGTGAAAATATGACCTCCTCTCTTTGGTTTGGATTTTATCTTAGCTATATCAGTAGTTGCTTGGTAAAAATTTTTTGTGTTACAATAAAGTTGAAATTGTCCCTCTACGCCTGTGTATCGTATATAAATTCAACTTTTTCACCACAACATGATAGATGTCTTTAATGGAGTGAGTTTATTTATTACGGAGTACTTTTTTCTTTAACTAATTAATTTATTTTCATTTGTTGACTCATTTTTAAAAATATTTTCATTACTTTTTTTTTAATTAAACATCTCGATTACATTTTTTTTAAATCGTGCAAGTCTGTCACCACAAACATTTACTCAAATGAAAATGAAATTATACTTGTGTTTCATCACATAGTTCTAATTAACTAACTCACATACATAACTACCTTTTTACAGCACAACTAGAAACTCACATATCTCATAAAGCAGTCTTAGTATTTTGTTTTTGTTCATATTTGATATGAGTATAGCTTAACATCTTTATTTTTAGTATGGGGTGATTTTAGTTTAGCCAATTTAATCTCATTCCGTACAATTTTTCAATTTTGGTGTGGTCTATTTGAATATGACATCCATAGGGAAAGCATGCTTCATATAATATATATAATTTAATGAAAAAATTACATTAATATTACTTCTACAAAAGCGGTGGATAAAGTGTGACTTGATAACTTTTAGTGACTATAATTGTGTTCAATGTCATTAGAGAAAATGGTCAAATAGATCATTCTACTTTTTCAGTTCATCACTTAAGCTCTTCTACTAAAAAAACATCATATAGGTATGTTTACTTTTAAAACAAAATCAATCAAGCCATTTTGACCTGCTATTGCGGGTTATTTTTTAAAAAATAAATTAGGACGATCGATAAATCTAATGAAAATCCATGTGAATTTGAAAAATAAAGTAATAATAATATAAAATAGCATAAATATAAAAATAGATAAATAAATTAAAAAAGTTGGAGTAAAAAAAATCAGATTACTGAAAAAATAAAGTGAAAACATAAAAATTATAAGATAATAAATTTAAAAACCTTTTAAATAGATGTAGAATATACAAACAATTTCAAAAATGCAATGTAAGAATATTGGCATTGACACTCATAATTTTCACATTTTTTACCTATATTTTTTCAAATTTTAACGATTTTTTAGAGTTTTTTAATATAAAATCTCACTATTGTAGGTCAAAAAGTGATTAAATGGTCAGATTGAACAACTGTTTAAAGCATGTGTACTTATATGACATTTTTTTTAATATAGAGGCTTAAGTGATGGATTGGAAATAATAGAATGACTTATTTGATCCTTTTCCCTATAAAAGGGTCACGTTTTTTGTTCATGTCTTTTTTTATTAATAATATTACAGAAACACCCTCTAATTTTATCATAGATTAAATGACTAATTTGAGATCTAAATACCAATACATGTTAAGACACATAAGTGTTTTCCACTAAAAAAACCAACCGGGGACTAAAAGTGGCAAATGCCCAATAGAATGGAACTAAAACCGAAAGAGACTAAAATTGTCTCTGCCGCTAAAGTAGATGGACCAAAAGTGTAAAAAAAAATCACTTAGCTATTCTACACTAGAGATACCCGGACTTGCTTTCAAAGCCCCCTGTCTCATTTTTGCTATGTTATACCTTTGTCCTACTACGTTTGTTACATGATATTTAATTCATAAATGTGAGTTATATAATTTAAACTACAATTATCATCAAACCTTTATACAAACAAAAATAGATGAAAAAGAATAAGTAAGACATGAATAGTTGGAAGAGAGTTTAATGCATTAAATATAGGTGATATACAATTTTGCGCATGCCTAAAATGATTTAAAAACGGCGTGCAACGCCCCTCTACTGTAAGTCTGTAACTAATCAAGAATTAAACATTTCTCAAACAATAAATTTAGTAGCTTGAAAGTCACATGCCGTAGTGCTATTGTAAAACATGCTCACAAAGTTATCAAGATAACTAATTCCCACAAGAATATAGATAATTGTTTTATTAGATAATTAGATATGTTCTTCCAAATTATAGGTGAATGATTATCAGTGTAGAGGACTTTCATGCATTTTTAAAATTGCATGTGTGGCCAAATGATGTTTTACTTGGACTGTTTTTACTCCCAGATCAGATCAGATCAGACTTAAACAGATCAGATCAGACCATATCAGACTTAAACAAACCAGACCAGACTTTTGTAATTATAAAATACACAGAGACCAGACATTTACCAAATCAGACCAGACCAGACTTAAATAGACCGGGCCACATCGACCTAAAAACATTCTAATAGACGTGATTTGTGTATCGTGTGTAATGAATAATCAATAAGATTTGAAGTTTTGCCATACATTTAAGCACAATTAGATTGAATGAAATTTGGGTAAAAGTAAGTAAATTTGGGTGCATAAGTATTAGGTCAATCTAGAACTATAGCGAATATAAAAAAAATTGGGAAATTTTCACACATAGGTCCAACGAGGAAAATAATATCAGTTTTTCAATTTTACATTTTGTTTTCAAAAGTAGGAAACGGAAGATTTTGTTTTCAAAAGTAACCTGTACTTTGCACCTGTACATTAGGTCTTATTTATTTCAAGTATTTATGTTTTAATCTTAATCATAAAGTGACAAATATATGTACAATTTTTTAGACTAATAAAATTATGCTGGGAAGTTAAAATGCAATAAGGTAATTTTTATTTACCTTAATAGGATATTTAAATCCTACCAGTATAATTCTATTTGTACACAAAAATTAATTAAGTCACACAGGTTCGAAAATCATACACATTAAATTAAAATGATTGGAGACCAAAACTTGACCGGTATTTAATACCGGATCAAGTACATGGACCTACTCCTGGACGCACACATAGGCATACCTATGCCGCGGCTCAATAATTCAAGACAAGGAAACCATCTCATTAAAAGCTCCTGCACAAGAAGACGAAGGTACAAACTCGTCATTGCCACATCTTCAACGAACAAGATTAATCCATCCTAACCAACTGGTGAGATTAATCATAAGGAGTAGCCTATAAATATAGGCTGAAACGAAAGTTTCTAACCAAGCATTTGAGCATTCTAAGTAGAGAAAACCTTTCATTGAGCATATACGAGCTATCTACCAAAAGAGAAAGTGCGAACTTAACTTTACTATCTGCCTGGACTCATGCTTCACTAATCTTCTTAGTCACAAGTATTCATTGCTAAATCTTAGAAGTTTAGTTCCTAGTTGGAGGTTAGAACTTTCTTGTAACAAATCACAAAACATTGTTGTGTACACTTAGAAGGATTGTGTTATCAAGTCCTAAATGTGGTTAGATAGATAGAGTAGCCTTTGATCCCCACTGGATCAATTGAGAAAAATCTAAAGGATTGAGTAACTTGGAGTGGTGTTGTACTCCTTGTGAAACACCTTCAATCTAGGCCTAAATGTTGTAAAGGCTAGATTGGCACTAAGTGTATTGAGCTTAATACTTTAATGGAAATCCATCTGAAAGAGGGTGGGACTAGACGTAGGAGGATTACATCACCTCTGAACTAGGATATACTGTGTGTTGATTTATTTTCTTTCAACAAAGCACACACCCAACACTTCTCACAAAAAGATCGTAGTTTGCCAGCACCATCCTAAGCAGTAGTCTTAATTGACCATACTGCTTATCCTACTGCTTAATCGCTTACTTTCTTTGATACAATCTTCGCACAAGAACCTTATAACATCACTAATAAAAGGTCTGCTCTATCAGATCTCAGGAATTCTTCTAAGTATAGCAGTTGCCTTAGCAGTTCCCTGGTGAAACACCCAACTGCCAAGACCACTGCTCTCATAAACTTACACTAATAATCATCTCTGCACACTTCCAGAAATCTCTCACCATCCTAAGCAATATTCCATCCTAACTTTCATCATACACTAAATATTCCCTCAGCAGTTGCCTTAGCAGTTCCCTGCCATCCAGCCAACTGCCCAGCCAACTTCTCACTGAGCAAATCCAAGCTTCACCCAAACCAGAAAGTTTTCACGCATTGAGGTTAAAGACTTCCGTTGTGCATCTAAAAATCTCCCAAAAGATTATAGATTAACTCACCTAGACGGGAAAGTTTTCAAAGTTAAAAAAGCTGTAAAAGTCTATTAACCCCCCCCCCCCCCCCCTCTAGACTTTTACCTCTATCCGGGACCATCATAACCTCATATATAAACGGCAACCGTTTAACAAAAATAGAAACCCAGAGCTTCCGATCCTGATACACGCGCAGAAAATACCTACCAAGCTTCCTTTCCGGCGACGTTAGTTTCAAGCCTTCTACAACTGATCGCAAATCTAATGTTTTCTACAGCTGATCGCATATAGTTTTCGATCGCAGAACACAATTGTTTAAGAGAAACAATTGTGTTATCTAAACAACGAAGTAATCAAGTTTTCATCAGCTATACGCAATTCCCCTGCGAAACAAAAGTATGATTACTACAATCTCAACGCTTCGTAAACTGGTTTCAATATGTTTGAATATATGAATTAAATTTTTGTTTCCGTTTGATTATTAGTTGTTATACAGTTATACTCTATTTGCATTGTAGTTGCTAAGATTTACAATATGTTTTTGTTTGTAAATGTAATACTACAATAAATTACTTCAATAAGCTAAAACGATGTGTGTATTGTTAATAACAAGGAACGTGGAAACACTACCTATTTTTGTTCATCATGGTGGTCATTGG